GGAAAAAATAAGAACCAAGATGCATTATGTAAAGGTACAATTCCCAATGAGAAATGTAATTGTGTTCTATACCTACAATGTACCAATAAAAGAATTTAAGGAAAAAAAAGCAGAATTAATATCAAGAGATGTTATATAAAATTGTTACTCTAAATTCTGAAGTTATGTATAATTAAAGGAGAACTTTCTTTTTAAAATATAATATAAATACACTATATTTATTTTGACTGACTAAATTGTTAGCTAGTTCAGTGGTAAAATGTTTAACCAAAATTTAAGTAGCTGGTTTACTGAGATATAAGTGTTGTTAAAAAATACTTTTAAAAACAAATATGCTCAGCCACAAATGGTGGCTCACACATTCAGCATTCTGGGAGGCTGATGCAGAAGGATCACAAGTTCAAGCTCAGCTTGGGCAATTTAGCTAGACCCCTTCTCAAAATAAAAAATAGACAAGGGGGCCAGGGATTTAGCTCAGTGGTTCTGGCACCTGCCTCGCAAGTGCAAGGTCCCGAGTTCGATCCCCGGTACCAAAAACAAAAACAAAAATAAAACAAAACAAAAAAAATAGACAAGGGCTGGTATTGTAGCTCAGTGTGAAGGCATTGCATTCTAGTCCCAGCCCCACAAACAAAACAAAAGAAAAACAAAAATAAAAACAAATATGGTTCAAGTTAATTTAAAAATTTTTATTGACTATTGAAATTTCCTATTATTTTGCAAATATTCCTTTTTGTAATAATAGAACTAGGACCTATGGGTGCTCTACCACTGAAATATATCCCCAGAATGTTTTATTTCTTGGTTGGTTTGTTTATTCATTTACTTATTTATTTTATTGTGAGACAAAGTTTCACTAAGTTTCCCAGGCTAGACTCACATTTTTCACATAAATAGTATTTTTGTATTGATTCAGATGGATGCTTGACAGTTAAGACTGTTACCATTTGTTTTTTGAAATTTTGATCACATACTTTCAATTGATGGAAATAAATACTAGACAAGATTCTGCCTTATAATTTTCTAAACTTTTAAATTTTCCAATCTATTAGGTAACTGTTATGAAATAAAAGGTACTCATGCTCAGTCATATTTTTTGTTCATTAATATACTTATTGTAATGATTTCATATGGGTCACATAAGTCATATGATTATCTCATTTTATTTATTTAAATGTCTTACACCAAAATAGATACTGTGACAAGCTTAAAATTTTTCCTTCTCCTCAACTTTGTATATGCTTAATTTTGTATTTTGTTGTGATTTTTCCATAAAATAATGATTAGAGAAGAATATTCTCTATAGCGTTCTCTGATTTGACTAAACTTTCAATATTTAAAGATTCTATTGCAAAGAAGAAAATAATTTTCCAATTTGTGACTGGTCAATTTATTCATTAAAAGGCAATGATTTTTAGGCAAGTACTGTGGCATGTTCTCCTAGTCCCAGGTGCTCACAAGACTGAGGCAGCAGAAATCGGTTGAGCTGAGGAAGTAAGGCAACATAGCAAGACTCTGTCTAAATAAATAAATAAATAAGAAAGAAAGAGATGATTATGCTTTCAATAATGAAGACATGAAAGTCAAATGCTTGCCCTGAATTAATTAAATTAATTAAGTTGCCTAATTCCACCCTTGGTTTTGTACCATAT